AGTGAATCTTTCTAAAAGCAGAGTATGAATGTCTTAACTCAATAACTAAGAAAATGACATGAAGGTTATGCTAACTAGTTTGATGAGAGTATTTCAAAATGTATATGTAAACAGCACACTCCATGATTGAATTAATGTACACAGTTATGCCATAAGAAATAATAAAAGAAATTTGAATGGGAAAAAAATAAAAACCTTTTAAAATCTTACTTCTTTTCAAAATATGGCAAGAAGGGGGGCATAAAGTGGGGATAGTGAATGGACACAAAAATATAGTTCGATAGATAGAATGAACAATATTCAATAGCACAACAAAGTGACTACAATCAATAATAAGTTAGGGTATCCTTTAAAATGGTTAAAAGAATAGAAATGTAATGTTTCTAAATCAAAGAAATAATAAATGGTGATGATAACTCAATTATCCTGATTTAATTAATTCACACTGTATGCCTATATCAAAACGTCACATCGCACATACCCTTCAGCCTCCCAAGTAGCTGGGACTACAGTCTCCCACCACAGTGCCCTATTATATACTCATAATAGCTGAAAATAATAAAAACAGAAAATGGCTACATGAAACAGTCCCATATAGGAAAGATAAAATTCTGCCATTCATATGAATGTACAGATGGGTCAAAGCTAAGGTCTGGTACTCTGTGGGCTTTGTAATAAAAACTGTATGTGTATACATCCTGATTTTGTCCCTTATTATAAGGAAGCTACTGGGCAAACTTCTCAACCTTGGTAAGCCTTAGTTTTCTAACATATAAAGCAGATTTCATGACCTATTTTGTAGGTTTGTTAATAACATTATTTTATATAAAGCATCTAGCATTGACACAGAGTGGGTACTTAATATGTATTTGTTTATTTAGAGATTCCTTCCTCTTTGAAGGAAAAACTGTACAGACTTGAAAAACTAACCAGATTTTTAGATTTAGGAGAAAGACGGTAAAAATGATGCTGAAGGCTTGGTGCCTGTGGCTCCAGCGGCTAAGGCGCCAGCCACATACACCTAAGGTGGCGGGTTAGAAT